AGCCACTCCGGTGTTCCCTTGTTCGTGCGCGGATACCACTCCATTATTCGCTTCGTCCATCTATTAGCTGTCATCCGTGCCACATGACCAGCCCATCTCTTCTTGCTAGTGTACTTTGCTTCATTCAGGTCTTTCGCGCCGGATCTGACCCGGAACGCATCAGAAATTGTCTAAATCATGAAACGTTTGTTGTTCTTCGAAAAAAGGCAGAACATATACTAAAAATAGGAATTTTAAAGCGTAACACATTTTGATGCGCGACTGTATAACTTGGACGATAGGGAAAAATACCTGTTGTTTTCGTGCAAAATTCTGTTTTAAATTCCATAAAAACTTTATTTTTTTAGGGAGAGAGCATTGTTTCAATGTATTTTTGCTAACAGTCAGCACAGAACTTTTCTGCATTTTTGTTCTTAGTGGAAACTGTAGGTTGTGTCGATCCGGTGCACCGTGCAGACGGAGGCAGCGTTTTCTATCACAAAAAACACTTCTTTTTCCAGTTCTAGTATCGATCGAGAGACACTTGAAGCTGCGAAAAAGCTTTTTCACAGCTATATTGCCCAAGCTTTTCATGACCTGTATCCTGGTATGGTACCTCTCTGGTTGGATTGAAGATAGATAGTCCGAACATCAATAGGGCGGGCTACTAAAGTACTTTTGTTTCGTATATTATATAGCAAGCTGCTGTTGCGAAATGAAAAATGATACCTCTGGTAAGCCAAAGAGCATGTGAAATTGTTGTCCACTTTAAATTCTGTTTTCCCACAACGCAAATAGTACCTTTTTTTTGTAAAATAACACCTTAAATGAGTAATGTTCTTGACAGTGCCACCGATACATACGATCCAGTGGTGAAAACGGTAACGGAAGAAGACGCAGTACCAGTGATGATGACGTTCAAGAAGTTCTTGGCAACGCAGGATGATTCGATAACCGATGAGGAAGCAATTGCGAAATATTCGGAATACAAACTCGAATTCAGACGACAGGAACTGCAGAAATTCTTCACGGCGCATAAGGATGAGCAGTGGTGGGTGATGATGATGATAAAACACTGCTAAGTGCTGATTGCTTTCTTTCGTTTTTTATTTTTCTAAGTTTTTTTTT